AAGGGGGGATCAATCCCCTAAATTTATATCATTTATAGAAAATAATGGCAGCTTCTTCTTCTACTGTTTTTATACCTAGGTATTTGTGGAGGGTTATGTTAGAGACCGACGAAGGGTGGGGTATTTGTGATTTTACGAAGGGTAATATTTTGGAAGGCCTGAATTTTATTTAAATTTTATTTTTCGGGGTTTCAGAAGTGATTTGTATATATTTGAAGTTTTGTTTTTAAAGATGGGAATTTATTTTTAGAAAGTAATACTTTTAGAGAACTGGAGCGTACAGGGTTATAAATATTTTTAACTACTAAATATATATAATCTACTTGTCTGAAATTTGATTTTGATAGATCGAAATATTCACTCCAAATCATACGAAGTTAAAAATGTATAAGAAAAATACTTTTTTTTATTTTCTGAAATAATGAGTGTCTTGCGTTAAATGGATCACCCAGTGTGTGTCTTACGGCCAGACTTAACACGATGATAAGAATCGCCGAAGATATACACTGTATAGTGACATCCTATTTACACACGTATAATAATACCTATTACATAGATAATAACTTAAAGGACGCTTACGAATATATTCCGATCATTAAAGTCCAAATGTTTTTTAGTATTAGTGTTTGCAGTAAATTTTGTTGTTTTTTCGATTCACCGAGTTCCTAAAAACAAAAAAACGAAATGATATATATTAATCATTTCAATAAAATAATTCAACACCTATTGATAAATTGTTAAAATAGTTTTTACTATTTTTAGTATTTTTGTTAACATCGAAATTCATAACAATGCATGTTCGATGTTCATCTGCCATCACACGAAATAATTATTCTATCACAATACCTACCTATAATGGTTATTCTTATACGTAAAACACACAGCAACCGTAGCCATCTTTCTATATTACTATCTCGATAAAAGTGTGAAATGCGTAGACTAAATATTTTATTTTTATGTTTGTAAGTTTATTACGTCAATAAATTTWAAAAAAAAAATGGTATACCTATAAAATATAAATACAGCAAGTCATCGATATAATTTAATGTTATATACTATATATTAGTACTATAGTACTTTTAGTACTGTAGTATATATCACCATAAAAATATAAATTACTCTTACTCATGTATTACATACCATCTAACCATTACTATCTAATATTGATTTTTTTTCGAACTTTAATATTTAATGAATATAATATTTTAATATTTACTGTACTGAATGCGGAACTTAGTAATGACGTATATTGGTGCGGAATACGATTATTAATGATCGATAATCTCTTGATTCTTTTTGCTGGCTTAAAAATAAACATATATTATCTATAGTTAATTATGGTGTACGTGAAATAAGTAGGTACTTTAATAATAGTATAGCATAATCGTATATAGATATTACATTATTTTTGTGCAAGCTATTTCTGGTGAATATTATTGCTATGAATAAATCTTCTATGCTTAAAGTTTTAAATTTTTCCATAAGATTTGCCGTAGTGTCTTCTCTTATAATTTTTCCGTTCATCAATATTCCTATCTGATTTTAGTTATGGCTTTGTTAATTGTAATAAATGTCATTTTAGGGGGAAAAATAACAAAAATTGGTCATTACGTGCGTAACGGCCGTCTCCATAAAGCAAAAATTATTGGAAGCCGACACGATTATTGTACATTGTCTGGATAAGTTAATATATGTTAAAAGTGTCCAAATGCTATAAAAAAGAGAGAAATATAAACACATTATTTACATGGTGAAAACTCGAAGGAAAATAGTGGACAAGTCGAGACAGTGGCGTAACTATAGCACCAAATGTTTGGGGTAGCGAACACTTTTATATGCTTCACCTTCTCCAATAAGCATAATGGGTGAGTACCATTAATACGCATAACTTCCACTTAAATTATTTTAAAATAATCATTATACTTACAGTTTTATAACACGAAAATTCACAAATAACGTATTTTTTTTATTAAATTATATAAATAACTTTGGGGTAGCAAAATACTCTTGCGACCCCATAAAAATGTTTGGAGTCACTACCGCTACGCTTCGTTACCTCATAGTTACGCCACTGAGTTAAGAGATCTACTATACATCATAATATAATAGCCAATAGGTATATAATCGAGTAAATATTATTTAAACGTATAATTTTTATTTTAGTTGGTTTAAAATCGATGAAAAAATTTACAGTTAATAACCGAATATAATGCGTTGCTCTGTTTTTAGCTCACTGCAGACTCCGAGTCTACCCTAGTAGTTGGTCCGCAAGAGTGGGTGGGCCAAAAAATGATCGATCGAGAGCGGTTACAATAATGACGACGGCAAGCATGGTATCATAATCTATTAGGATTCCGGGTCCCGTATTTATTTATGTAATATACTACATTAATAATACTGAATGTTGTTTCCATGTGATTTAATAAATCATGACTGACAGATCATTTGCATATATTAAAGGACAGTTTAAATTTTTTTTACGCCGATCTTCTAAAAAAAAAAAATATTTGTATAATGCGTAGGTAGGTCTATCTGAAAATGCTGACCTCCCCTGCCATAGGAGGTAACGCAGTTATATTATTATTATTATGTTCTGCGCCTCTGCAGGGCCTTGGACTAATAATGTTCGACAACTATAAATCCGCGCGGTGCAAATACTATTACCTTAAGGCAAGATTAACACATAATATATAGGTACCTATAATACGTATGATCTAAACCAGTATCCGGCTACCGTACGGACACTACGACTTGATAATATTTCTGCGAGAATGTATACGTTAACTCAATAATGCACAACCTGTTCGTTAGAAGGAATAACTCGTAATCGTTCAAACAACCGTAAAGTATTTAAGTATATATTATTTAATAATTGAATATTGTGAGTCGACAGAAAAAAAAACTATAATATAATTAATTATTACGTACGTTATAATGTTATATAGTGTTGACTGCTGACCTCTTAGATTTATTAGTAATTAGGAATTGTGTTGTGTTAAATATATATAATTTAGAGAACAGATAACATTATATTTATATCAATAACATGCTTAGGTTGTGTCTGTGGTACTGGTACAGAAATTATATTAATACGAATATTAATTCAACATACGATAATAATGTGAAAAGGAGTAAAACAACCATACAGCTAGAAAGATAACAAATAATTTATAGTATAATTATTATTAAGTATGTTAAATTGCTAACACAGGTACAAATAGTGTTGTCATACTAAGGTAGAAGACTCAGGGTCGGTGATATAGAACTATAGAAGCATTGGCACTCTGGGCGAAACCATGTTTTGGCGCCCATTACCCCCGCCTTCTCCCATCTAGTTTGAGTATAGTAGTAAAATTAAGCTTTTTCGTAATATTAAATAAAATAGTATGTATTATTTTGTATCATAACTTATAACTTTACTACCTGATCATACTACCGAGTACCGATATTGTAATAAGGTTATTAACTTATAAAATTGACACTTAGCGTAAAAAAACAAAACAAAATAAAATTAAAATAAAAGTAATTTAAAATTTGATACTTATAGTAAAGTTAATACTAAACGTGAGTTAATTGTTTTTTAGTTCGTTAGATCACACTGTAGACCGTACATAGCGAGAGCTCGTCGAAAACAATAATTAACTGTGTGTGTGTGTGTCAAGGCACTGTGTTTATTAGATTTTTAGTTTATTCTTGGATGATTTAATATCACAAAAATAAAACATTTACGAAATAATATAATATATAATATATACGTAACTATATAAACAATTTTTTTTAATATTAAGTACAAGAGTTTGTTGTGTTAAAGAGTGTGATGATAAAATAGTTACACGAATTTATTTATAAATAGGTAAATATTATGAAAATAATTATTATCCATCATTAATAACTACCTAATACGTTCATCTATAATCTTATGTTTTACTTACACACACAAATTCGGGGGACAGTGGCGCAGCCAGCGGGCAGGATTGATAGACCTGGCCTGCCTGTTTTCAAATAGTTATTTTTAATATTTTATAACTTTTTTTTTCGAATTATGAAATGATAATACGGAATGAAATCATTTTGGAACAAAGATTATCTTATTGTTACACACTCATATCAAGCTTTTATAGTAATAATATTCTTCTTTTTGCGGTGAATAATTATGGCCACAGTACTTATACTGCTTATCGGGCGATGACTAAAAAATAGAAAATAAATAATAATAGGCAATATTCCCGAAATGATTGCTATTTGTACGTTCGTCACTAGATGTTCACCGCGGACAATTGTAAAGAATTTGGTGATGTTTATAATATAAGATAATGAATATGGATTATAAATGTTATTTTTTGGTACTAAAATCATTGATGACGATGTGTCGGTGTGTACTGTATGACTATGTATAGTGTAGGATGGCCAGAAAATAATYTGTTCTGTCAAATAATAGCTTTTGCCGGAGTCGGCCCTGGATTGTTATAGAAGTACTGACCGATATTGTCACAAAAAACAAAAAAGGATTAACGATTTATATTACGAATAATATGGTTTAATATAATATTATATATTATGTGGTAGCGTTAAGGCTATTTTCTTCTTTATGTATAGTATACATAGTATAACAATTATTTAAATAATGGCATAATATAGATGTACTTAGTGTAATATAAATATTAAAGAAAATATCGTATTCGCGGAGATTATCGCTTTGTACAGAGTTCATGCTAATCATACTCGACAGTTTAACGTACCTAATAAATATATATATTATATAACCCAATTAARACCATTGATGATTATATTGAAAAGGGGATAGTTGCAGGTCGTCTTATAAAGGAATCTAGTTACGTATGATGTGTCTTAAAGAGCAATCTACGTAGATATTAGATATAGTCATGTAGATAAGATACAAACAAAATAACGCATAATCCTTCCAAGTATATACGTATAATAAACGCTTTTTTAAACACGTAACAACAATAATGCACAGCACAATGAAAAAAAATGTTAACCTACTTTTTTAACGTTACGGAGTCCATGCCAGTAGTGATGTCGTCTAAAATAATAACTTCGGGATCGTGTAGAATTGCTAACACCAGAGATAAAACTTTCTTCTGGCTTAATCTTGAGAACAAACATAATATTATATTAAATTAGTTACATAACCAGCTGCGATAAAACCAATAAATTTATAATTATAATTTATAGGATATGTTCTTCGCAAATATAGTGATTAAAATAATTATAGAGAAATATTCTATTAGATTTTAGACAGATACGATTAACTATATCTAGCTATATGTAAATCTAACAAAAATTAAAATTATATTTTTAAATAATTGCCTGTGCACACACCCACTCATAACTATACCATAGGTAGRTAAATGGTACATGTGTTTTTTTTACATAGAATTACGAAGATTACATTCTAATTGAATTATTTATAGCCCCGTGTATTAAGATTTACAATTTTTATTTTATACATTTGCAGTAATCAGTTATCATCACTAATTTTAATATTAATTGTAATTATTTGATAGTACGCGTGTACTATAGTACCGGTTACTGCATATTATCCATTATAAAATAATATATCAAAAATAAATACTTAACATACAGTCAAAGCCCACGGGGTTACCTGGAAAACATGAAATTTTAAAATATCGAAACATATACAAATACATAACACTAGGTCAATAGTATATAGCATTATATTACATTATATTTCATATTCCAAAGCAGAATATTTTACTAAGTATTTTGATTCATAAAAATCGAATTTAGAACGAGTAGTTTATGAGTTATAAGTATTGAAAGTTTAGACAAGCGGAGTAGTGGACAAACGTTTTGCGTAATACACTACTCCACTTTGCCAATCTAAACTTTAAATACTTATAACTCATAAACTACTAGCCCTAAATTCGATTTTTATGAATCAAAAGACTTAGAAAAGTATTCTGCTTTGGAATATGAAATTTAAACTCTATGTTGTCATTCAAAAAAGTAAAAAACTTAAAAAATGTTAAGGATAAAAAATATTTAAAAATATAATTTTTTTAATAAAAACGTTGGTTTTTTAACAACTTAAAACTATGTGAAAAAAATATTTTGAAAAAAGTCAATACTTTTTTAAATAATGAGTGTTGTTTGAAAGAATCACTCTGTATAATATAAATATACGCAACGATTTGCTTTTTGTCGTGGGTTTAAAACGTACCTTAGTCGGTCGACCAAGAAGTTCGTGGTCACTGGCAACCCGGTCATCGGTACTAGGCTCTTGTACCTTTCTACGATTTGGTCGACAATTAGTCCGTTGACGGCACCGATAAAGTACAGTAGATGGTAAATTAGCATCGGTCCGGGCACGTCGAAATTCTGCGACCATCATTATTATAATAAAGGCGGAAATAATAATAATAATAATAATAATTATGTAGGTGAGTTGAAAAATAATAAATTACGCGACGCGGCAATGGTAACCGACATTACATCGGCAAATGTTCAAAAATACATACCTGTGGGGCAAATCCTATCTTGGGACGTCGACGCGTGACCGTTTGCTCCACACCGACGCCGACGCCGCGGCTGCCCCCGAGACTACCTACCATGCCACTACTATTACCGGAGGTCACTTCAGCGTCATCCGTCAACATCATCACGTCACCACCGTCATGTTCCAAAATGCCCGACAGACAACTGAGCAATACCGATTTGCCCGAACTATTTTCGCCCAACACCGAATAACTGTGACAGTACATAATATAATATTATGTATACATATAACATGAAACACAATTTGTGCAGAACACACATAAAAAAAGCATCAATTATTTAGGCACCCCTATTTGTTTATAATTTTCAATTTTCAATAATTTATCTTTCGCACTTTTTAATCTGTCAAAATATCGAACGTCTACAGAACGTACATTTTGTGTTTGGGACTAAAGTTTTTACGCGATTAAAAGTAATTTATCTCATTGCCAATGGCATAGACAGAGAATTTGTTCCTCTGGTTTGAAATTAAATACTGTTTATCACTAATAGATTAATATAGGAAAAAAGTGAAAGGTTAAATATAATTATAGACGAGGACCTGCGGTACTCAATTAAGAATTTCTCACAAAATCAACCTTAGGGTTAGATTTTTGGGGGACACAATAATATAACATAATATATAATAAATTGTTTTACGCTAATCGGTATGTAGTATGACCTTTATTAGAATGATTATACATTTTGCTCTCATTCTGTTTAATAAAACTATAATCATAATTCGTAACTCAAATAAGTGAATAACAAATATAGTTTAAAATATTTTTAAATGGGCGGCTTTTTCCATGATAGTTAATCACGACGCAAAACATTAAATAATCACATGTATGCTTGTATTATACAGAAATTATATTCACTTACAGTCTACACGAGTGTTTAAAATCCTTAAAGTGCGCCACTTKAATTTTTTTAATTTTATAACAAAGAAATACCATGGGTTCAACTAAAATAACTATTTGCTCTTTATATCTTTATACAACTTCTATACCCATCTCAGTCTTAATCATGTCTGAATTATTTTTTCAAGTTCAGCAGATATAAAATAATTCAACAAAAACAATAAAAAAAWCTTCAAGTGTGATTTATATTTATTTGAAGGATACCCATCGAGGTATAACTGTTGATGTTTTAGGAAATCRAATAGGTACAGGAAGGACATAAGAGATTCTTCATACTGTTTTAAGGTCATCTTCCGCTCACAAACACTTTTTTCACCATGATACTAATGTTTAACAATTGATTAAACATTTTTTATGTACATATTAACATTAGGTACTACTTATTAGGTAGGTATACGTAAAGTTAAGTAGGTAACGTAGACATAAGGAAAGGTAAACATAATTKATCACTATTTTAGACAAAATAAATTGAAAAATTGGGATTACTATTATAAWRGTATATGATGCATAAATAATAAATATATGTATACACATTATAATATATATATATATATATATATATATATATGATAAATGTAGGTACTTTCATAAATATTATAATATTATAAAGCTATCTTATCGATGTTATAAATCCATTATAATAGTCAATAATGGAGTAAATAATAAAACAATTTTGAATATAATTTTTACTAATAACAGTTTTAGTATATCGAACTATATACCTATATATTATATATTTATATATTTCTGATGATATATTAATACAATATAACTTATACATGTTGAGTGTTTTCGTAATATCTATTTTATAATTATTATTTTTATTTTCCTTACAAAATAAAAACAGCATGCTATCAGTTGAATTATTAAAAATTAATCAAGACAATAGTGCTAGTCATAGGCGTGCGCAGGGGGTATGCAGAGTATGCAGCTGCATACCCTGAAGTTCTGTGAGGGGCGAACATCGACTCTGGAAAATTGAAACATCCAGTTATCAGTTATCATCAACTACCAAGTATTTGCGAAATACATACTTCTTGTATTGTGTAATGGTATTTATTAAAATAGTTTTTTAATTAAACAGTAGGTTTTTCAATATTTGTGAATTGTGTATACATATTATCAGAATTTTACGAGCTTAAAATAACTTTCAGAGCGCGCTATTGTCAGTCTTCTGCATATCCTGAAAAAGAGGCCTGCGCACGCCTATGGTGCTAGTCACTAGATTGAGGATATTATGTATTATTCTAAAAATAAAATAAGGAAATAAACATTGATATTTATTAACAAATTACATTTGCATAATGATTGGTGTATGGTGTTGGTAGTTGGTATGTTCTATGGAATTTGAACATAATACCTTGAAAAAMTTACAAAAATTGAATTATTTTACCACAGTTTATAACATTTTTCTAACTATATTTAAGTAAGATATTAAATGCGCAAATTTAATATTTTAAAAAGTATAAGGGAATCCAAATTTTCTGGACCGAATCTTCCTCATTTATGGTCTTGTCGTTACTTTATACAAGTTATTCATTATTATTATTTTAAGATATACATACTTAGCGGCTTATGAGTTATAACTATTGGATTTGTTAGAAAATGTACATAGTTAGCTTAAATTAGGAAAATGTGTTACATAATAATTCATATTTTATGGTACAAATTATTGTGGTAAACAGTACCGATATGGAGTGACTATTGAAAAGTTAAATACTTACATTGATTGTTTTTCAACGGAAATATTCACATCATCAAGTATTGTTTTATTTGAAATTTTTTTAATGATATTTTTTCCAATAACTGCATAAGTCCTTCTTTTATCCATCTATATATGTATGTATATAAAAATAGTATAGGTATATTAGTAGCATAGGATAAAACAATTCAATAGGCACTAAAATAATTACAATATAATACATATATGTACCATGTAAGTACGTGTTGTTCTGTAATTATGTTTTTTTTGTTTTTAACATTTCATTGCACGTTTTAAAAACAGATTGTAAATTTGTAACTAATAAAATGTTTTATTTTCTAACTGATAGAGGAAGTAAGTAGAAAGTATATAACGCATTGCTGGCTAAGGCTTTATAATGGTAAGATTTTTTACGTAAGATTGTATATTTTAGTAGGTATCAGAAATACTTAAAATATTTTATGTAAAATATTCAATTAATTGAAACATAAAATATCAATCATGTATAGACTAGCTACTATTATTTTGGTATTTCTAAGCATTTATGGTTTATCAATATTTCTAAGCATTTATGCGGTTTATCAATATTTTGATAAAAAAAAAGTCATATTAAAATTATACAGTAACATAGTTGTGTTATAAATAAATAAACGTTTGTGGTTAGGTATATTTTTTGTTGTTTCATATGTTTAAATGAAATTTTCGGAAATTGTTTTGCAAATCATCAGAACCTATAAATATTTGTTTAAATATAGCTAACAATATATATATATTATTACACAGTAGCATATATTTAGTTAATAGGCAGGCGCGGATCCAGRAATATTTTTTTGGGTGGGCCATAAATTTAACCACAAAAGATAATACAGTGAAATTAAGATTTAATCAAGAATAATTTTCATTTAGTTATAAAAATTTAAATAAATAGTCCAGTACTAATAGCTAAAAAAAATTGATTGAGTTACATGGAAAAATACGTCCATGAAGTTGGCCCTTATTCTTATTTAAAACAAGTTAAAAATTTTTCAAGTAATTAGCAAGAATTTGCAAGTCCAATCCCAGAATTTGCAGTCAATAATAAACTAATTATTAGGGGTGGAAGCAAAGAAGGGCTAACTTCAAGCAGCTCTCACTTGTTATCCGAAACCAGCGTTAAAACACTCGTTATAATCAGCAAGAATTCGCAAGTCCACTCCCAAAATTTGCAAGTTAAAAACCTCACCCCTACGAATTTTCAAAGTTTTAACCTCAGCCCTTACTTTTTGTCCGAAACATTCAAAACCAGTGTCAAAACACTCGTTATAGTTAGCAAGAATTTGCAAGTCCACTCCCGAAATTTGCAAATCATAAATCTCACCCCTACCTACCCAGCCTACAGGGTAAAATATTTTTAAATGCATTCTTAGTTATTATTGATAAACAGCTATCTTATACTCAGAATAGGCTATACGCAATAAAATAATGAAAACTATACTTTCACATTTATTTTTAACACTCACTATCTTACTTTTAAAATAATTTAATATACTTAGTGAAATTTATTTACAACTTTTTCTGTTTAAAATAAACTTTATAATATTTTTGGAATGGGATAAGTCAATAAAATTTTTATTCTACTAAATTGTAAAATAATAATGTTTATATTTGATAATTTTTTCGTACAATATAGGTATTACTGTTTCAGTTGTACTAAAGATGTCAAACGCGTATACCTAATATGTCTACTAACACGATGAAAACATAGGGTGTCCATAGGTAAAATTTTAGGAGGGATCAAGATAAAAAATTCTCAAATTTAAGATACTCAAGTTGTTATCTATATAATTTGCCTTGGTAATTATTTAATATTTTTTATCCACATAAAATGTTGTGTTTTACATTAAGTTTTAAGTTGTTGAACATGAAAATACCATTTTTGTTATTGTTGTTGGATATGGTTATGTTTAAATTTCAAACCTTAAAACATTTTTTGCAATAATCAAACTATTTTTTTTACCAGTGTTTCCACTATCTCTGGGCTCTGAGTTATAGCTTGATACTATAGATGTAAAAGTGATCCAATTTTATACATTTTAACATTAATAAATATTTATTTACCGCAATAGGTATATCATATTTAGATAAAATTAGGTT